TATATATGTATACATATACATATATATATTATTAAAATATAATAATTTTAACGAAGGGGATGTGTCGTTGACATTAATAATATTGTAATTAACGACGCGCGAATCATTCATAAAATTGTACTTTGTCATTAAGATACTATCTGATAAAAAAAAAGGAAAAAAGACAAAAAAAAATAATAATAATAATAAAAAGAAATAATGAACGTGAGAAAGGAAACTTTCTTTTCTTTTTTATTAAGAATATTTATTATACTATATTTTCCACAGTATTTTTGTACTGTGATATATGCGGATGTGCATGATTAAGAACTGTCGCAGCGTTGCCTTCCTCACGTTAGAGTTTTATTTTCCTTGAAAAATTTCACAGTAAATAATATTTAGCGAAAGAATACGACATGAATAGGAAAAAATACAAGATTTTTTTGGTATTAAATAAAATTAAATAAAATAAATTCTCAATCGGAGCATTGTTCGATTCATATTTTTGTTATACTGAAATATGCGTAATGTTGTTATAATATGAAAATTTTTTAGTTTGTTTTAATTATAATAATAATAATATATTTAATAGAATCATGTCGTGTTTAAGACTTTTGTCTTAATGCATATTATTTTTGTTAAATATATTGAAATATTTTAAGATCGATTAATATTTTTGACAAGGAATTCTGACAAGTCTTACTTATAATCCTAGCCAAAGGAAGAAGCGAGTGGTGTACGGAGGAGAGCACGATAGAAAAATTTGTAGGACCTAGCAAAGCGCATATAAGTAAATGTATGTAACTAAAAAGAAGAGTGGGTTAAAAAACAATATAGCGGCTTTTGTAGCCCTCTAAAATCCAAATGATTTTTTTCTACATCTTCTTGTTTCAAGTGATGAAGGGTGGTGTACGGGATATAAGGGTAGAATCAAAACAAAAATGGATGTAATAAAGCTTCCCCCACATAAGTCCTTTCTAGTTCGTCGGGCAAACAAAGCAGTGTAAGAATGAACGAAGGAAAACTGTATGTATACATATTTGTGTATGTGTGTGCCTGTACGAGAAGAACAAAAGAAAATATGTTTCATCTTTTTTTTTTTCTTTTTCATTTTTTCTTTGCTTATCAAATAATTTTCATCTTAAGAATTTCTCAATTGAAACATCGATTATTTTATAAATGGATATATGGATTACACAACCAGGTTGAAATAAATTAGAGAAAGAAACACATAGAAAGTAAATCTTCGAATGCAAATATTGAATTGCAATTAGTATTATTGCAAATTTACTGGAGTTATGAACTTAATGGCACGGCCGCATTAAGCGTGATCCACTGCCTGAGCTAAAGAAATTAAAAAAATAATTCATGATAAGCATTCATCGGCTTTATATATGTAAGCTTCAAAACAATGTTCACTCTTCGTTGTGAAAAAACGCAAATTTTCATGTGTAAATCTTTGAAAGACAAAATGGTGGTAGATGTTCTAGTTATATTATGCAAAACTGATCTCTTTATGATCAGTATAGTATTAGATATCGCACAATCGTGCATTCACAAGATTACCTTAATTCGGCCTTGCTCATCGATACATGTAGTTAAAGAGCACTCATTTTGTCGAGAAAACTAGATTTTTGATTTTTTAATTTCGACAAAATTGCTGTCAAAAGCATCGCGTAACAATGTATTGAATTTTTGCTAACAATTTTTCTCTAAGCCTGCTCGAAAATACATAATAAAATTACAGTGACTATTCGCGAATTTTTACCTGATTTTTAAAAAATCGAAAAAGAAATCAACCGATACAAAATGTATGGGTGTAATAAACGAAAGTGAAAAAGAGAAGAGAGAAAGAACAAAATCGAATGAAAAAAATTATGATGATCAAACAGAAATATTCTGCGTGACATGTTGAAGTGAAAAGTGTTAACGAATATTACTACTAAAGTAATAATAGGCAATTAAAATGAAATCTTATACATAATAATTATTGAAATGTAAATTGTGTTTGGTTGTATTTTGTGTTATTCGCCTCTGATGCTAAATATAATGGAAATTCGATTAAATTCGTTTATATTTATTATATAATTGTTATTATATATTGTTTATATTTATTATATAAATCGAAAAATTCATATATTTTTTTAAATATTGTAATAGAATTATTTGAATTTGAACTTGGCGCTAGTTTTTAAATTAGACATGCGCACAAGTATTAACTTGTGATTTGTTCGTTATCATGAACGTAACCGTAGAATGATTTTGAAAATACGTATTAGTAATCTGTTTATTAATATAATATATACATATGTATCTGATAAAAGTTCATAGTTTCGCGCGTTAGCAAATATTTTCAACATTTTAAAAAATTTCTAAAAATGGGAGAGTTACTTACTCTCGAGAATGCTAAACAAATTGCAGCTTACAAAGCAGTTGACGAATATGTGAAGGTAATTTTACTTTTAAATAAATTATGATATAATAACAGGTTATATAAATTTATTAGTATTTTATTATTTAAATTTTGCGTATAACCATTTTACAGAATAACAGTATCATTGGAATTGGTAGTGGATCTACAGTAATATATGCTGTTCACAGGCTCGGTAAACATTCTATTTTATATATAATTATGATCATTTGTAATAAATTTTTCTTGTACATTACTGTAGTTTGTATTTCATTTTTTCTTTAAAACATTAATAGAATAGACCTTTGATCCCATAAAAAGATAAGATTATTTGATTCAAATGTAATTGCAACAAGTATATTTTAATTCTCAAATTATAAATTTTCTTACATAGATTTAAAATATTTCTAATATATATTTATCATATATTTATATAAATAAATGATTGGATAAATTATATTTTTCAGTTGAACGTGTAAAGGAAGAAAATCTTAATGTTATTTGTGTTCCAACTTCATTCCAAGCTCGGCAGTTAATATTAAATAATCATCTTACATTGGGTGATTTGGAGACCTATCCTAAAGTAAGAAATTTTTTATTATTATTTATAAAAACCTTGTATATTGTTGTTTAAACATTAACAGTTGGATTGTGCAATTGATGGAGCAGATGAAGTTGATTCCGATATGAATCTTATCAAAGGTGGAGGAGGTTGTTTACTTCAAGAAAAAATTGTTGCATCCTGTGCTAATCAACTTATTATAGTAGCAGATTATACGTACATAAATGTATTTTTGTAACAGAAGTATTTTTGATAATTATTTTTATTTACAATATTTAATATAATTTTAGGAAAAATTCTCAAAAACTTGGTGAACAATATAAAAAAGGTATTCCTATTGAAGTAGTTCCTATGGCATATGTTGCTATTTTAAGAAGAATTGAAGATAATTATGGAGGACTTGTGAAAGTTAGAATGGCTTTAGCTAAAGCTGTAAATATTTTTTAATAAATTTTTTCTTATTAATTAATAATAAAAATTAAAAAATTCTTATTAATTAAATATTGTGTATATTATGTTAATTATTTTTTTCTAGGGTCCAGTTATAACAGATAATGGTAATTTTATTCTTGATTGGCATTTTCCTCGTGATATAAGTAATTGGGATAAAATCAATATAGAAATCTCAATGATACCAGGAGTAGTTGAAACTGGACTTTTTATAAAAATGGCAAAAAAAGTGTACTTTGGAATGCCTGATGGCAGTGTTAAAGAACAATTTTAATGTTTTATATTAATATTATTTTAAATATGTTCATAATTCATGATATTGATTTGAATTTAGTTTAAATTATGACAAAAGGATTTGAATAATCCTAATTTTTTTTTTTTTTTAGATAATATATTTTCATTTTTGCCATTTATGACATATCATTACATTCATATACATTTAAATCTTATTCTTTTTACAACTAAATCTTAAATAAGATTGTGTTTTATAGACTGAATTATTTTCTGTACTTTTTACATATTTATTTTCTGATTCAATGTATAAAGGAACATAAAATACTTAAGATCTTTTTTTTGTGATAATTTTTATTCTAAGTGTGCTATAAGTGGTGCTCAAATAATTATATATATAATTATACACTGTTTGTATAACAATTAATCATTGTAAAACTAAAGAAATATAAAAATTTTTATATAATATTTTATTCTTATTTATTATTATTATATATCTATATTAAAATTTTTAAATTTTTTAATATTAAAATTTTTATTTATCACTATTTTAATTCTATTTGCTAAATAT